GTTGTTAAGAGTTTGAGCTTTGGAATCAGGCAAACGTGGGTTCAAATCCTGACTCCACCACTAGTGAGCAGGATGACGTTAGAAAAGTGACCTTCCTTTTCAGAGCCTCAGTTTCCCCACCTGTAAAATGGGAGTGACGATAGTACCTAGCTTACAGATTTGTAATACGTAAATAAAATGCTTCTTGTTACCTACAGCATTTACCATAATGCCCAGCGTATGGGAAACGTTCAGTGAATGTTAGCTGTTACCAAGTGAAAATATTAGCTTTGGCACATGAAAAAAAACAAAACAAAAGATAATCCTTCCTCAGAAGTTCTGGATATTGTAATACAATCTGCATGTGTGTATGTGTATGTTTTTAAAATATATATTAGAACTCTGACAAAGCAGCTTGTTTCGACTAAGAATATTTGGTGCTTGGAAAATGATAAGCATTCCTGAAACTTCTCTGGCCCAGTTTCTTAGGTTTCTGAAGATAAATTAATTTATATCATTACTATTTTACAAAGTCTTTTCAGAGAACTCAAGTTTATAGGTTAAAGCATTGGAATAATTACTTTCCTTATGATTTATACTTAGGAATATAAAATAGTAATTGTGGTAATAATGCATAAATATAAGAAAAACAACTAACATTTATTGAATATCCACCACATACCAGCCTGCGTCAAGCATCTTGTAGGAAATATTTCATTTGACCCTCACAATCACCCTTTGAAGAAGGCACTGTTATCGTCTTGCCCATTTTATAAGAAAATTGAGCCATAGAGATATAAAGTAACTTGCCCAGGTCACATATTTAATATTTTAGGGTTAAACCCAGGTCCCTCTGATCCACAATCTAAGTTGTTCACAATTACACTAAGACGCCACTGGAAATAATTCTCAATCACATGTCTAGATAAAAGGACTTTCTTTAAAAAAAAAACCACACACAATACAAAATATCTTTTCTGCGCTAAGGAGATCAAAATTTTCAACTCTTCTAAATATTTGGGAGCTGCCATTTGCATTCTTACTTGATTTCTTTTTATCTTCTTTAAACTCTTACTTTTTTTCTTGGAAAGTAAACTCTCTTTGGTTTGTCATCTGTTTGTCTGCTTTGTGAGAAAACTTTTTATTGAAACCAGATTCAAGATGGGCTACTAAGATTTTTCATAGGAACTGAAAGCTTAGTTCCAGTCATCTAGAAGGAACTTTTGATTTTTTCCATAATAATGTGAGGAAGGCACGTAAACGATCTCCATCCTTGTAAGAATGTGAAACCTATAACTCCAATGGGTTTTCTTGCTACTCATCCATACAGATTGGATTTGTGTGTGTGTGTTTAAGTTAATGTTTTAGAACATATTTTATTTGTTTTTAATGTTTATCTATGGTCTCAAATGACTGTAATCTCTTTCCCCAAGTGGATTTTTTTCCTTCACTTTTACTGAGAAGATAAAGTGTCGGTGGATGTTTTTTATTTCTATCCAGCTCCTTATAACTCACTTCCTCTCATTTCATTCTCTGTACCCTCCTTCCTCCCATACTAAATGCCTCCTAGACAGACTTGAAGAGCCTGAAGACAACTTCTCAAGGAGAGGATTGATTGCTACTAATTGACAAGTGAAATAGGTACTGACCAATTCCCTGAAATTCTCTTCAAGTCACTGAGTATGCACTTAATTTAAACTAGTATAAGTGAAAAGAAAATTTGTTGGCCATGTAATGGAAAGTCCAACTTCAGGCACAGCTGGATCCAGGTGTCCAAATGCTATCATTGGGCATCTGCTCCCTGGATCTCTTGGCTCTGCTTTCCTCTCTGTTGGTTCTCAGGCAAGTACCCCTTAGTGAGATGGCCAAGGCCACCAGCTTCAGATGTACCCCCTACTGGTTTGTCAACCCAAGCACAAAGTGTACAACTCTATTCTAATAGGTTCAGCAAAAGTCACATGATTTATTTTTATTAGTCTAGCTTAGGTCATGTGCCCACTTAGGAGGTGAGTATTTTAGCAAGGGAAATATAAGCTTCATGTGATGGATTTGGGTATTCACTCGCCCAAGTTTGGGGAGCAGAGCTTCATTGTCATGGAACATCCCATCTAAAATTCCTAGTTCTTACAAGTTATCAAAAACACTTCACGCATTCTGACATCGAGACTATGGTTTGCATCTGCTGTAATCTTTAAAAGCGTTAAAGTCTGGTCTTATAGATACTTGGATATAAGTAAATTATCCTTTATCAAAGCAATATGTTGGCACTTTTTAAAAAGTCTGTCCATGAGAAGATTCTTTTCAGAGACTTTTTCTCTGGCTGTGACACTCTTACTCACCACTAGCTCCTTTGGTCCCCAGCCAGAGAGTAAGGAAGAGAGGAAAAGACTGAAAGAGATCAGCTGATGCTCTTGGCGTTTTGAAAAGCCCTTCCTTGTTTTGAATCAGAGTCTCTCCCTTTCTGTCGTCTGTTTCCTCTTCTCCTGGCTTGGACCATCCCCACAATTCATTTACATTCACTCTGACGCTTTAGCTGCCTCACTGGCTTGCTTGGCACCCTGGCAAATCAGCCATCACTCCCTTCTTCCCACTCTTTCCCCCCACTGCCCTCCCCGAGTGTGATATTTACCGCAATAAGGAACTCCTGGGCCACAGAAAAAAGGTGAGTAAGACCTAGAAGATATAGCCACTGTTCACATAGGGGGAGTTCCTTGAGTCTGAGTTTATGAGGAACCCTACTGCTTGTCACTGGCCTCCTGAACCATCTCCTCTCTGCTCCTCAATGCTTAATGAGACCACCATTCTGCACAGGAATCCAGCTCTCTCGCTCTCCTTTTCTGTTTGTTCCTGACTCTAGACACTGGGAGATACTAGAGCTTGGCAAAAATGATTGCTAATGGCTGTATGTGTGTGTGTATTTGTCACTACATATTAATGAGCAATACAAGCAGACCAAAAGAAACCTCTGTTCTCCCCTTTCTCTTTCTCTCTGTCTCCCCGCAAACAGATATTAAGAAGTGGCCGGCTGCAAAAGTATAAAGCAAAAGGCGATGTTGGCAAAAGCATGGGAGAAATCTTAAAAATAATCACACAGGGGCCAGCTCAGTGGTGTAGTGGTTAATTTCGCGTGCTCCGCTTTGGCGGCCAGGATTGGCTGGTTCGGATCCTGGGCATGGACCTACACACCACTCATCAAGCCGTGCTGTGGCGGCGTCCCACATACAAAATAGAGGAAGATGGGCACAGATGTTAGCTCGGGGCCAATCTGCCTCACCAAAGAGAGGAAGATTGGCAATGGATGTTAGCTTAGGACCACTCTTCCTCACCACAAAAATAAATAAATAAAATAATCACAGTATCTGTCAATGATGTAGCACCTACTATGGAAAAGGCAGTGTGCCAGATCCTTGGTGTGAGTTTTCTCCTTTAAACACAACAACCCTGCAAGGGAGCTACTATTATTCCCATTTTACATCTGAGGAAATTCAAAGGTTTTTATTGACTGCCCAGGGTCACACAGCATATCGTGGAGAATCTTGATCTTTAACTGTGATTCCAAAATTTGTGGTGTATCTTTTTTCCTGAATATTGCACTGCTTTATCAAAGGGACCTAGACAAGAAGGCAGTTCAATTAGGTGAATGCAGAGGTCAAAATAGAAACATGTGGATGCTGGAAGCCGTGCCCCTCCCTGCAGGAGGCAGAACCAGCATCCACACGCACAGCCTTGGACAGCTAACCCCACACCTCTGACTCCGTGCGGGCCTGAGGTCTAATCTGCCTTCTTGTGGGCACATCTGCTCCTCCAGCCTTCAAAAGGGAAACTCTCTGAGGATTACATTTTTAAATCTTTCAGGATTCTCAACAGCCTATGCTAACATAGGTCTTATGGTAAGACAGAGAGAACACAAACTTAGGAGTCAGATTTCTGCCCAGAACCAGGCTCTGCGACTTACCAGCTTCCTGGGCTGCCAGGAAGGTGGCTCAGCCTCTCTGGCTGTCAGTTTTCTCACTCATGAATGATTATAATAGCTAACGTTCATGACTTTTATCAAGCACTTCTATATACCAGGCAGTATCTGTGTGCTTTAAGAATATTAACTCATGTTATCTCATCACAAAATTATGAGGTAGGGGCTGGCCCCGTGGCTTAGCGGTTAAGTGCGTGTGCTCCACTGCTGGCAGCCCAGGTTCGGATCCCGGGCGTGCACCGACGCACCGCTTCTCCGGCCATGCTGAGGCCATGTCCCACATACAGCAACTAGAAGGATGTGCAGCTATGACATACAACTATCTACTGGGGCATTGGGGGAAAAATAAATAAACAAATTTTAAAAAAATTTAAAAAAAAAATATGAGGTAGGTCCTGCTATTTGCCTGATTTTACCAGAAAATTGAGGCACGGAAAAATTAAGTAACTCAGATTCAAATAAGCACTTTAGCCCAGTGTTTCTAAACCTGAGTGATTTTGCCCCCTGGGGGACATGTGGCAATGTCTAGAGACGTTTTTGGTTGTCACAACTTGGGGATATTATTGGCATCCAGTGGGTAGAGGCCAGGGATGCTGCTAAGCACCCTACAGTGCACAGGCTGGACCTGCATGACAAAGACTGATCAGGCCTCAGATGTCAGGAGAGATGAGGTTAAGAAACTTGGTTCTAGCTCCAGAGCCCAAGGTGTTAGCCGCTCTACTGCCTCCCAGCTGAAATCATGACACTTTGCTTCTCACAGGAGTCCTGCAAAAATAAAAAAAGGTAATTAACGTGAGTATCCCTCCTACAGCATCTGTGTGTGCTTCCCAGTAACCGGCTTTCCTCCTCACTAGCCTTCCATTCCTGTCTCCCAGGAAGAGCGGGGTCAGAAGACAGCTAGATAAATAACCTCTGCCTTGCAGAGCGGCCGGAGAACAACAGAGCCCAGTTTGCATTATGGCCTTTGTATATTAAAACGTTCAGAGTCCATTATCAATCCTCGAATTTCCTCACTGGGTAGAATAACTGCTGTTTATGTTTGTGTTTACAGTCGATTTGGGAATAAGTGTCAAGGAGGAGAATGCGGCCACTTCTTCCCCCGAGACAATGGAGATAAGCGCTGTTGCGGATGCCAGCGGGAAGAATCTTGGGAAAGAAGCCAAACCCGAGGCCCCAGCTGCTAAATCTCGTTTTTTCTTGACACTCTCTCGGCCGGTACCAGGACGTACCGCAGACCAAGCCACAGATTCATCCACCGGATCAGTGAAGCTCGATGTCAGCTCCAATAAAGCTCTAGGGAACAAAGGGCCGAGTGAGAGCATGGCACTTCCCGTAGCAGCTGCATCGGGGCACGACCCAGATAAAGCCCCGGGGCAGACCCCGGCCGCACACCAAGGCCTCTCTGCAGAGTGGGGACCAGCGCCTCTCCCTCCTGAGTCAGGGGGACCAGCCCCCTCCAAGCCCAAGGACGCCAGCTTTTTTGACAAGCTCTTCAAACTGGACAAGGGACGGGAAAAGGCACCAGTTGACAGCCAACAGGAAGCCAAGAGCGCAGAGCATCAGGACCCGGCCGACGAAACTCCTGGATTATCGAGGCAGTCCGATGATGTGCCTCCGGAGAGCGTAAGTCCTGAAAAGGACAGTGCATTTTGTTCTTAACGCAAGCTCAGGGGGGCACAGATGGGCTAAGAGGATGGCACATGTGTTCTCTACAATCACCGAGGGGCCCTGACAAGGTATCAAGCCGTCGACCCCTCTAGAACAAATAGCACATTGTAGCGTAGTGCCTCTCCATGTTTCTGTGGGCAGAAACATCTGTTTGAAGAACAATAACACTGTGGCATCTGTTTTATGTAAAAGAAAAGAAGAGGTGAGTTACATACAGATGAATTCGTCCTTCCATTTATCAAAGGCACACGCAGACAGGTTGCATTTATGATCAATGGAGTCTGGAGGGAAAGGAATTCGCAGAATAAAAATGGTTCCTAAAAGACTTAAATACCCTGCCTGGTCTCAGTAGCATTTTTCACATGCAGTGTGTTTATAGGCTTTTGTTGGAACACATTTCATTTCTTATTTTTAATAGTCCAGATTGATCTTTAATTATCTTTTGCACCAAAGTGCGGGTTTAAATAAAGAGCTTTTACAGCTCTGGGTAGACTCTTGTATGTACTAATTATTTTCCAACAAGCTGGAGTAATAACTTTGTAAAACCTAGATTTTTTTTTTTAAGGAGGGATCCTTAAAAAGGAGGGATCCTTTGCTCTTTCCTGAGCAAAGAAAGGCAGTGCTCTTTGATCTTAAAAAGAACATTTGCCTTTAACCTTGAGAGAGTCTGTTTGTATTTGGAGAGAGAAAAGAACTCTTTTAATGAAGAAGGAAATAAAACTTGATACATTGTATTTTAAAGCACTTGTTTCCTTAGTTAATGGGCTTTTAAATAACAGTATTTTTCAAAAGTTGGGAATAAAGTAAAGTATCTCTCCTTGAGGTTAGAACCGGGAGAAAATTAGATGGGCCCAGTTTTTTATTACATTGTTGTGTATCATGGCTGTCAATATACTTGTGTTAATAACAGCTAACTGCACTGCCAAGTTGCTATAATAACCCTGGCTGTCATTTATTGAGCACTTACGATATACCAGGCTGTGTTCTAGGCACTGTACATATATTATTTTCCTTAAGGAAAATGAGTATCACAGTAATCTGTGGTTTTAGTGCATCCAGGGTGGTGTAAAGAATTATATTGTAAATATTAGACACGAGCTGAAAATTCTGGACAGTTAAAATTGGGAAAAGATGATAAGGTTCATGTGTTTAGGCTCTTACTATCACCGTTCTTACTGTTTCTATAAATTTTTACTCCAAGAACTGATTTTCAAATTTTCTTTCAAAAGTTTAGAAAATTGCCCTTCAAATGCCCCCTTCCCCAAGTGCACCAGTTCAGGAGTCAATCAAATAGCTTTCTGTATAATTCAAAGTAGGTCTTCAAATGCATCCAGGCATCAGATCTTTACTGAGTGTGACACTGTCAGGCAGAGGTGGGGCACGGCCACAGTGGTGGACAGGACAGAGTCCCTGTCCTCAGGGAGGTTGTGGTCCAGCGAGAGAAGAGGTACAAAAAACCCACAGTTGTTATGCAGGGTGCCAAGTGTTCTGCTGGGGGAGGCCGAGTGTTGGAGAGGATGCCCAGATACGAAGAGAAGTAGCCTAGGTGGCCCAGGGAACATTCCATCAAATATATGAATCTGGAGCAAGAAAGTTACTTGTCTTGGGGCTATAAACTGGTCATCAATATTCATGAATATTTGAGAAACTATTTACTACTTTACTCTGAATGGGGAAACCCTTGTTGAGTTCTCATTATTGGTCTTGGGCTCCTAAAGCCGTGGTGAGGTTGTGAGCTTTTGAATAGTCACATGTTTCGTTTACATGGCCATCCAAAGCCAACCCATTGCCTGAGTTAGAAAAAGATTGTTATTTATGGGAAGAGAATGAAGGACTGTGCCTTACCCATCTTTGGGCGGATGTTCAGTGACTCCTCCAAACCCCCATCTTAATTAAGGAAACCCGTTCAGCATCTGATAACCGACTCTTGAACTTATTTAACCATAAAACCCCAAGGCAGTCAATCAATTCCTAGTCTAAGAAAAGTTTTAGAGTTGTGCTTTGTCAACTCAGCTCCCTTTATTGAAGACTCGTAGAGACAACTCAATTTGAGTGGAATGAGTTCTGAAATGGAATTTGATTCAGAAGATGAGGGCTCGTGTTGGGAACATGGCAGATATCTAATATAGTCAAGCCCATGGGTGATGTGTTGAAGTTGTAGTAACCTCTCAGAAGACCCAAAAACTGTGAGTTATCTTCCTTTCAGAGTAAGTTAGCTCCCTTAGATTCACCAATGAAATTTGCGTCTGTTTTTGTTACACTACAAATTTCCGTTTTTTTGTTGGTAGTATCATTGGAATTTAAAATATTGAGTTCCCACTCTGCACTATATGCACGTAAAACATGGAAAAATTATGAAATAGCTATTCATTTCTCTTTCAATCTGTGAACTTGTGGATATTCAAATACACATATCTGCAAAGATTTTTAGCAAAAACAGCCTTCTGGTTGTTAAGGTTTCTCATCTGATCCCTAGCTGCATAGTCCGTACTTGGAGGGGAAAAATCGATCGTTCTCTAAGTGTAGTGAGAGAATCCAGCCCTCAGAAAGTAACACGAATTAAACTTCTCAATCAATGGCTTTCTTGGTGGGAGTACCACATTGTTCGTAAATGGCTGTCAATGTATTGATTCAGAATTCATAGGGTAAATTATGCCTGGGCTCAGCTGTGTCAGCTGTCCCTCCCATCCACCCACACAAACCTTTCCCCCCAGTTTCTCTGCATGCTTCTTACTGGATTGGAATTCCAACCACAAACCCACAGAGCTGTGAATTGGGAGAAAGATGCCACCATTTCATTCTGGGGGAAACACACAAATCTTCTGTGTTTTCAGAATGACAATCTTATTTTTGTGCCTTATAAAACTACATTCAGAGCATAGCATAATTAAAACAAGGCCAGAATTCATGAACAAATGAAGCATTTACTACATAGGCCAAAGAAAAGATAAATTATATGCCTGAAAGGTTTCACTGAGCTGTGATTCACACAAACCAACGTGTTGGCAGGGTTGAGATTTTTTTTTTTAATTTTTCTCTCCCCCCAACAACTGAACCAGAGCTATAACATACGCATTTAAGAGAGTCACTGAAAAAAAATGTCATACAATGAAAAGTTGACCTTTATCGGTTAAAAAAAACAATTTCTGTTGTCAACTGGTACTTCCAGAAGTGTCTTTGTGTTGGGGCTACAGGGAGGTGCTTAAAGGGTTGCCAAGCAGATTCATAAGATTTAAACAGGAATGTTCCTTATCTTGTAAAAGTTTAAGTAAATTCTGCCATTGTTATTTAAATGCCAACCTTGTACAAGGCATTTGGAAGATAAATCATGGACCTAGTCCTTCATAGATCATAAACTAGAAGAGACAGTTTTTTTAAGGGAAAGTGTGATAAATGCATTGATCCTAAAATTCATTCAGGCTACTGATAGGAAGAAAAATATTCAGTGTTTTTGCTTCTTCCTCTCCGCTTCTCTCTTGAGCAAACTCCATTCAGGGTTTTGTCCTCCAGAAAAACTGCTCTTGTCCAAGTTGCTGTGATGGCGCACCTCCCCCACCCCTCACCGCAGCTGCCAAGTCGGATGCAGCTCAGCCCTTATCCTGCGGGACTTGCCGGTCGCGTCTGAGACAGCGGCCGCCCCTTACTTCTGGAAACATCATCCACACTTGGTTTCCAGGTCCTCCCACCATCCTGGATGCTATTCATTAATCTCCTTTGCTGGATGTCACCCTCTGAATGCTGGAGTTCTCCAGAGTTCAGTTCTTAGACATCTTCTCTAACTACACTTACTTCCTTGGAAATCTTCCCCAGTCCCAAGAGTTTAAATATAGCCATCTGCTGACAACTCCCAAATTTATGTCTCTAGCCTAGATCTACCCCTGAAGTCCAGACTTAAATAACCAGCTGCCTCTTCCTCATGTCTACTTGAATTTCTGCATCTCCTTTGGAATGTTCCCTGAGCACCTCAGCCTCAAAATGACCAAAACGGAACTCTTTATTCACACATAACAACAACAACAACAACAACAACAACAAAATGCCTATGTTGAATCCACAGGCTTGCCCATCTCAGTTAATGGCAACTCCATCCTGCCACTGCTATTTAGTGGTGGATTGGAATTAAAGAACTGAGACCTCCAGCATCCTTTTCCAGCATTGCAGTCAAATAGCCTAAGTTTCAACTCTGCTCCTGTCACCTACTGGCTGTGTGACCTTTGGCAAGTTACTTAACCTCTCTGAGCCTCAGTTTCTTCACCTGTAAAATGAGGATGCTAACAGTATGGAGCACATTTTCACATTATTCATATTTGTGAAAATTAAATGAGATAATCCATGTAAAGTACTTACCACAGAAATATTGCATTTTGAGAAAAAGAGAATTTAGCTATTTTTAGTGTCATGGTTTTTCTCCCTATTACTCCACATTTTATAGTCTTTGTACCCTTCCCTTCCGTAGTCCTCAACCAACACCCACAGAATAACACAATTGAATCCAATTTGAAAGCTGCATAACCAAAGGCATAAGTCCTAATTTGGGTTAAAAAAAAAAGAAAAGGTGGAGGAGATGTAAAATTATTCTGGAAACAATAGAATTTAGATGCCCGTGCCCACAAGCCCCAGTTTCTTAGCCTGACACTCAAGGGTCTCTACAGCCTTTCCTCTGCCTATTTTTCCAACTGCATTTTCGGCTCTTCCCTTAGTTAATCTGGTCAGCATATGACCTGTGCAGACTCCATCCACTTCCCAGTGTCCTCTCTGCCTGTATCTCTTTCTCTCTGTTTATCAAAAATTTACTTCACCTTCAAGTGCCAAGTTCTCCGTGAAGCTGACCAGATGTCCCCGCTCCTGCGGGTTTCTGATGACATGAATCACTCTCAGATTGTTTTTTTGTACACTGTATGTTAAGTCAAATTCTGTGATAAAATCGCTTTGAAGGAATCATCTCACTGAAACAT